CCCCATTAGTTAGAGTAGTTGTATATGGCCAGGCCCTCCTGATTTGGGCTCTGCTGTCTTTCCAGCCTCATTAGTACAGTTCTCCTTGATCACTGGCTATGTTTCCACAGTGACCCCTTTTTAGTTTCCCTTTTTTTTAAGATTTTTTTTTAAGATTTACTTATTTATGAACTGGGGTACAGGCCAGAAGAGCAGAGACAGTGAGAGGCTTCACCAGAGACAGAGAAAGGAGCCGAACAGGAAGACTGACAAAGTTCACTGCTGACGGAAGCAGTGGGCAGGTCAGGAGATGTCTGCCACGTCATGTGGGTCACCTCCCTGGCAGGGGATCGAACTCATGCTGAAACAGCTATGGCTAGCTTCATGGTGCTGTGCTAAACTAGTTGCGCCACCAGGGAGGGCCCTTAAGATATATTTTTATTTATTTATGCATACAAGAACTGGGGTGTGGGACAGAGGTGCAGGGTGGGTGGTGAGAGGATTCACCAGAAACAGAGTGGGGAGCAGAACAGGCAGATCCACTGAGATACACTGCTGAGGAAGCAGCAGGTGAGACAGGAGAGTTCTGCTGTGTCATGTGGGCCACTCCCTGGCTGGCTGGAGCTCATGATGTCACAGTGGCTGGTGATATCTGGATAGCTCTTAGACTTTAACCCCTGAGCCTCTGGGGAGGCCACCTTTTCAGTTTCTTGAACATCAGGTGCTTCCTGCCTGTCCCTCTGTTGTTCCTTCTGTTTCCTGCTTATCCCATCTTTTAAGCTTTCTCTAATGTGTGACCACCTCTGAGAGGAGCTTTCTGCCCCTGCCCTGTGTTATTCTGGCTCCTATCACCTTCCTGTTTTCTTAATCATGGTAGGTAATGATATGTTTATATGTTTCTTTTTCATTTAATATCTGTTTTCCCAGTAGACCACAAATTCCAAGAGAACAGCCTGTTTCGCTTTCCACTGGACACTTAATCCAGTATCTGGTACATAGTAGGTAATAAATATTTGTTGAATATTTGTAGTTCAGAAGGCACAGGAAGTGGGTGTGCAGGAGAAAAAGAAAATATGCTGGGCTGAGGATACAGGGGCGAGTTTATTTGTAGAAGGAAGCCAGGGTGGCGTCATCTTTGGCTTCCTTTTCCTATCCACCATGGGAATAATCTATATGTTAAAGTTCATTTTTTTCCTAATTTTTATTTCTATCTGTTTAGGTTTTTATAAAAGATACTTATTTCCAACACGATTGTATTGCAATGTAGAGGGGGAAAGACTGTTGCAATGATTGACGAGGCTGTGGAACTCTCAGATATTACCGGTGAGGACATACATGGGTTCAAACATTTTGGAAAATTATGTAGCAGTCTCTATAAACCTAGTCATTCCACTCCTCAGTATTTACCCAGGAGAAGTAAATGTACATGTTCAGCAAAAGACATGTACAAGAAAGTTCAGAGCAGCTTTATTCCTAAGTGACAAAACCAGCAGCAAACCAAATACCAATCAATAGAAAAATGGCTAGATGGTGGTGTAATTATGCAGTGGGGTAGCTATAATGATTAAAAAAAGAACAAGCACTGTTAGACACAACAGCACGGGTTGTCTCAAAAACATGTGTTGAATGACAGAAGCCAGACACAAAGGAGAACATACTGTCTGATCTCACGTCTATAAAGTTCAGGAGCCAGCAAAACTAATCTGAAGTGATGGAAGCAGGAGCGAGTGGTAACTGGGAGCTTATCAACCTTAAAGAGCACAGAAGCCTGCCAAGGGTGTTCGAAATGCTCTGTATCTTCTTGCGGGTGTTGTTATACAGTAAGTCCTCACTAAATGTTATTGATAGATTCTTGGAAACTGACTCTGATTTCTCATCCTCAACATAGGAAATGATGTGCAATTTTACCAGAGGCTAACTTATAAACAAGAGTTAAGTTCCCGTGGTATATTTCTAGTCATAAAAATATCACCCTTATAAAGACTCAGAACACTTCCAATATTCAATAATATTCACTACCCAGCCCACTGATTTTAATTCAGGATGCCTGGTGGCCAGAGCCTCTGCAGGAACCACACCTGGCCAGGAGGTCTGTTCCATCACAGGGCGCGCTCACTCACACACACACTCATCCAGACTGGGGCAACTTAGACAAGCCAGTGAACTTAACAAGCACATCTTTGGAATGTGGGAGGAAACTGGAGTATCCGGAGGAAACCCACACGGACGGTGGGGGGAACAACATGTCAACTCCAACTGGGACTCAGTTATTTTTTCTTGTCACATTATAACGAAACAATGTTGAATGAAATGACAGTCAAGGACAGGTTGTATGTATGTAAGAATCCATCAAGTTGTATGCTTAAGATTTGTGGACTTTATTGTGTATGTGTTATATACTGATGAAAAATTAAGCAGCAGAGTATTATGTACTCACTGCCAAAAAGCCAAGCAAGCAGTGAAGAACTATATACTCTGTGTGTGTGTGAGAGAGAGAAAGAATCTTGCTTAGATGAATTGAGGTGTAGGCCAGAGATGTGGAGTTGAGAGGATTCACCAGAGAAAGAGTAGGGAGCAGAACAGTCAGATCTACTGAAATACGCTGCTGAGGGGAGCAATGGGGAGGCAGGGAAGGTCTGCTGTGCCCTGTGGGTCACTCCCTGGCTGGGGATTGAACTCAGTCAGTACAAAGTGGTGGTATCACTGAAACTTGACCCTAGGCTAACAGGGAGGCCCTGTATACAATATAAATTAAAAGTTCTCCTCTTCCCAAAGAAAACTACAATTAGCATTTCTTTCATTAAAAAAAAAAAGACTTACTTATCTATGCATACAAGAACTGGGGCATAGCCAGAGGTGCAGGGGTGGGGGTGGGAGGATTCACTAGAGACAGAGTGGGGGGCAGAACAGGGAGAGTAACTGAAATACACTGCTGAAGGGAGCAGCAGGCAAGACAGGAGAGGTCTGCTGTACCCGTGGGTCAGCTCCCTGGCCTAGTATTTAACTGTGAGGCAGGAGCTGGCTGCTGATAGCTTCATAGTGCTTTGCTTTAACCCCTTGTACCACCAAGGAGGCCCCGCAATTAACATTTCAATGTATAATCCCTTGAATTTCTTTAATCACATCCATTACTTTCTTGGAACTATCCAAAGCATTTGCTCTATGTGTAGCACAAAACCCACAGACTAAGAATTTTGCCTTCAAGCGACAAGTTCAATGGCCATCCTGCCCCCCCTCCTTCATATAAAGAGCATTAGGAAATAGGAAAATGAGTAAACCACAATCTCTGCTTTTGAGGAATTTGCAGTCTGAGAAGTTAGATCACAGACCCCACAGATGGGACCAAACTCTCGTGAGTTCTAAGACTTGACCTGTATTAGGTCTTCTGGGGTCATTAAAATGGGTTCAAACTATTGTCTGGGTAACAACACCTTACAATTGTGTAGCGCATGCAGTTCAAAAGTTGGTTTTTTTTTTCCTCACATGTTCACAATTAAATCTAACAGCTCTGTGAAGTAGTGATTATCGACATTACCCTCATTTTGCAAATAATAAAAGGTTGCCTTGCTTGCCTTGCCTGCCTGGACAGGGAGAGTGAGTTTTGGGACTAAGACCTAGGTGTCCTGACTCCAGTTTATGGTTATTCATAAATCTGTCCCCAGCGTACCTCCTCACCCCTACAAGGAAACAAGCCCCTCACAAACTGAGTTCTGCTGGCGAGGCAGGTGGTGAGGGCTGGGGAGCCTGCCCCTGGGAGCAGGGTCTCCTAGCAGCAAGTCCTGGCTAGAGCACTGGACCAGCGTGTGGTGATGGTCTGGAGCCACCGGGAGCCCCGGGCAGCTCAAGGCAAGGCCCGACCAAGAGCCCTTCCACCTCTTCACGGTTGTCTGACACATCTATCTCCAGTTCCCAAATTCACTAAAATAGAGGCGGGGCTGGCGGGGTAGGGCGGGCCGCGTCAAGGTTGGGGTTCGCATTCCCAGGATTTACAGACCCTTCGAGGGACACTTCCCAATTCGTCTCCCCGCATTCCTCCTTCTCCCCTAAGGTCTTCTAACTCCGTCCTCTTCCATTGGTTCTCCAACCCTCCAACCCTCAGGCCCAACCCCGGGCTGTCAGGCCTCCTCTCCCTCCCGTCCAAAGCGCTTGGATAAAGCCGACCCTCCTCCCTCCACCACCACTGCCGAAGCGGAGCCGCGAACGTCGCCTCTCTCCAAGCCTCCGAACTTCCGTTTTGTTTTGCTTTACATTTCCATGTCAAAGGAGATGCAGGCGGGGAAGCTGTCTTCAACGCAACTCGCGACCGCGACGGGGCCGGGCTGGGGTGGCGGGAGCCGTAAGGACCCGGGTCCCCTCCCTGAGATAAAGCGGGGGCACAGCGGCTCCCGAGGCTCGCGGCTGGCGGAGACGTCTGAGCGCCTTTCCCGAGGTGCGGTCCAGGCCTGGGGCTCGGGAGTGCACGTGAACTTGACATTCAACGTTGAAGTGGGCAATTAACTAACCTAGCGAGGAGAGGTGGCAGCCGGGCGTCCCTGCCGGCCCGCCCCAACCTTTGGTGAAAGGAAGGTGGCAGAGTGTCCTAGTCGGGGCTCCCGCGCTCCAGCTCCCACTTTCGCACCTTCCAAAACGAAACCTCCAGCCGCATCTCCGCGGGAGATAACCTACCCGACCCTCCATTCCTGCCCGAGCAGATGGCCCCTGCGGCCTCCCGGCGCGGCTAGGTGCGGAGGGTCCTCTCCCCACCCCCACCCCTCTTTCTGGGCTCCCAGGGTCCCCTCCCTTCCCTGATCGCCTGCCCAGCCCGCCGCCCCCGGCGGCTGGCGCGCGCGGTGCAGCATGCGGCAAAGCTCTTTGCATAAATTATGCTCATGACGCAGCAGCTAAAAAAATCCAAGTAGCAGAAGGAGGGAAAAGGGGGGAGGGAACGGGGGGGCCGTGGAAGGGGGGAAAGCAGAAAAATATATATACCTGACCACCCCACCCCCACTTCCCCTTCCCACTTTCCAGCTGTCCCCCCTCTGCCCAGCGCAGTCCACAGAGTCCCCTTCGGCTCTGCCCAGCCCGGGCTGGGGGCCCGGGGGCAGCGGTGGGTCCCGACCGGCTCCCGGGCCGAGCCGAGCCCCGCCAAGCCGCACTGGCTTCTTTGTCTGCGGGAGGCGGCCGCCCCGGCCCCGGCCCCCAGTCCCCTGGCCCCGGCTGTGAGATGAATCTCTAATCGGTGGCCGCGGGGTACCCGGGGCGAAGGCGGCTCGGGCTAGGGCTCCGGTAAGTAGCGGGGTCCGGGGCGGGGAGGGGTTTGCACGGAGGGGGAGGGGGCCGGGCAGGGGAGGTTTCGGGTTTGGTTAATATGCAATGCCCGTAATTAGCATAATTTATATATTTATGATAAAGAGAAAAAAATGCCGCGGGCCTGGGGCGGCAGGATGCTGGGCCCGGGCGCCGGGGAGCTCTGGGAGCGGGACTGCGCGCCGCCGTCCGCCCGGAGCCCGAGACCCCCTGGGCCGCGCCCTCGCCCGCCTTCGGGCCGGGCTGGCCGGGGAGGGGGAGCCGCCTCCAGGTGGACCCCGTGGGAGCCCGGCCCTGGCCCCTCCCCGCCTCTGCCCGGGAGCCCAGGTGGGGTGCCCAGCGCTGGGGACGTTCTGTGCACAGACCCGTGACGGCCGGGAGAAGATCGTCGCCCCGCGGGGGAAAAAGACGCCTGGGTTCTTGCTGTGAAGGTCAACTGAGGCAGCTGGGGCGACCTGTCAGAACCCTCCCAGTCATCTACATCTGGTGGGGTTGGGGGTTCGGGACCTAGGCGTCGCTGGAAGGGTGGGGAGTAAGTGGGAGGGTCGCCGTCGAGCGGAGCATGAGCACTTCATAAATATTTAATAACAATATTATTATTAATAAATAGAAAAATGGGCTCCGGTTTATACTCCTTGAGCATTCTCACCTGGTGAGAGCAGGGGAGCCTCAAGTTGCGTTGTAACTTCCACCTTAGGGTAGGGGTTCCCCCACTCTACTCGGACTGGAAGGCTAAAATCTACGCAGAATATTCCCTGCTGCGGGGCTGGGGAAGTAATTTTTAAAAGCCGCCAGGAAACCTTCCTGGGCAAATGAAAAGAAACTCTTTGGAGAGATTTTAGCCTCATCAGCTTTTCTGGTTCCTTGTTTCAACTGGTCTTCAATTGTTCTATACATAAATCCTCCCCTTATTTTGGTCTTCTAAAGCAGCCAACATGGACAGGCAGAGGCCTTCTGAGTAATAATTCCATATATTCTAGGTTTGTTGAATGCTAGGGTGAGTACTTCTGGGACCTTGCACTGTGCCTATCTGCCTTAGAACTTCATTTATTTGTTCATTGGTCCAACAAAAATACCCATTATTTTATGTGTCATGCTCTGAACAATACAGCTTAGAGCTTCCTTGTCAGGTTTGTGTTTGTTTGTTTTGGGGCTGGGGGGATTGTTCCCAGGTAGATCATAAACATGAAAACAAACAAGATAAATCAGTGTGTGTGTGTGTGTGTGTGTGTGTGTGTGTGTG